TCTCTTTCTTGTCCTGGGGCCCCCAGAGCTGGACGCAGTACTGCAGGGGGGTCTCACCACAGCAGAGCAGAGGGGCAGAAACCCCTCCCTCGACCTGCTGGTCACACCTCTTTTGATGCAGCCCAGGACATGGTTGGCTTTCTGGGCTGCAAGCGCACACTGCCAGCTCATGTTGAGCTTCTCATCAATCAATACCCCCAAGTCCTTCTCCTCAGGGCTGCTCTCAATCCATTCCCCACCCAGCCTGTATTGGTGCTTGGGATTGCCCCGACCCATGTGCAGGACCTCGCACTTGGCCTTGTTGAACTTCATGAGGTTGGAATGGGCCCACCTCTCAAGCCTGTCAAGGTCCCTCTGGATGGGCATTGGAATCACAATTTTAAGTACTTTTTGTAGTTACATGTAGAAGTATTGTATGAGAGGAAGGAAGCTCCCTAAAAATCTGTCATTTTAGGCAAAGTCACACTAAATATTTTATTTTGTTAAGACTGTTTAATGCCATCAAAAACTCAAAGCCTCATGACACAAAATACTAACTGCCATAATCACTACTTCAATCTTTAATTCAGTCTGCTAGTTCAAATGTTCAAAGGCTGGCTCAAGATTTTGGAAGGGGTAAATTAATTCTGGCAGACTTGGCTATGTCAGATATCATCTGTCTTCTTTCTATCAGATCCAGCTGGGAGGTCCCCTTATAAGTAGGATAAAGCCAACTCGAACACCATTTTGAGTGCTTGGACTAAATAAATCAGAAATTTGATTATATGCATATAATCTATTAAAAAGAAATGAAAGATTTGGCATGTTTTTCCTAGCCTGTCTACTCAGGACAAGACTAAGCAACTGGTATCTTTGCTGAAGGTGACTCCAAGTCTCTTTTTCCCTCAAAATGCTCTATTAATTTAAGAATGGTTATACTAGGTCAAACTAGGGCCATCTTGCCCTCTCTGCAGCACTGGATGCCTACAGAAGAATAAAGAAACATGAATGATGCTTCCCCAGAATATTTATTCATTCTCTAGCAATTTATGGTTCAGGAACTTCCTCAGTCAGGGGTACTGCCTTGGCATTTAGTAGTACCTGATGCCCAGTACCTGTTGAACTCAGAAATTTCTAGCATCCATAAGGATGTCCACTGCTTAACTGCATATGTAAAGAACTGCGTATTTTTTTTCCTCTCAGTCTGCACCTGTTAGTCATACTGCAAGAGCTGGTCGAGTTTCCCACCTTGCTTCATTCAGTAAAAGACAGCTTATGTGAAAATAAAAAATGCAACTTCACGGTACTGGGTTTGAATGGGTTTTCTTCATTGTATACATGCACATACTCTTCACCTAGTGTCATTATTATAGAATCATTGCCTGGTTCTTTGCTATAATTCATAGAGTCCTGACTCTAACTCAAGTGGTCAGAGAGCAGACCTTGAGCATTTTCAAAGTCTCAGCAGCCAGAACTGGTATCATATGGCAACACAGCAACATTCAATTTTCCTATTTTCTGAACAGCACAAACTCTGTTTCTGCAGACTTGCTCATTAAGTCAGAAGATGAGTCATCTGGAAAAAAACTATAATCATTTGTCCCCTAGGAGTCATATAGTAAGTTAATTATTGTACAACACATTCTAATACAAAATACGCAAGCGATTTCAACTTGTTGAGGTTGCAGAGGGCAAGAGAGCATTTCAAAATTTCCATCAGTTATGGTCTGGGAATGCTGGGTTTCCCTTGACTCAGTATCTATTGCATAATCAGAAACACATTTCGTTCCCTTTGTTGTATGAGACAAAGCTAAAGAAATGTGTGTGTTATTACTTTGCAAAAATAAAGAGCAGATACCTAATCGGCTTATGTCATGTATCCAGTGTTTACAAACACAACGGTTGCGTGCTCTGGGGCAGTTCCTCAGCTGATGAAAACTATTACAGCTTGTATCAGTTGAAATAATGCGCTTCTGAATCTGCAAGTACCCTGTCAGTATTGCATGGGAAGTCAAAGTATAGGAATGTGATGTGCCGTATGAATTTTAGTATCATTGTGTTAAAACCTGCTTGCCTGGAGTTCACCTGTCTGATCATTGTTGTATTTTAGTTATTCATATCCAGTCATCCCAGCGTCATTGGGCTCTTGTGTGGTTATTACCTCAGCAGCAGATAATCTTATCAGTGCATAGAGAGGAAAAGCTGAAAACAATGTAAATGCCTTCAGCAGGTTAATTTTTTCTGTTGAAAATCAGAAACAAATACATTTATAACTTCACAAACAGTAAAGGAGAAAGACTTTTCCCAGTAGTTATGGCACGTTGTTTTAAAACCTTTGGTTCTTCTTATTTACAGATCCTCATTACAGGAAGGAAAGACTGGTATTAAAGGTGCTGATTTAAAATTACTAATTTGGTGAACTCATAATAATAGACATGGCTCTGGCAAGAGACCTGGGTTCCTGATCACTCATTTGGCAGACCTACATGACGACCTCTCTTCTTTCTTGGAATTATTATTACTTAAAAAATCTTTGTGTACTGTCAAATGAATCTTCACAGTCACTCTGGATCTTCTAGTATTTGACATGCAAAATATAGAATCTCTTCCATTTTCTCTTTATAAAAACTTCTGTAGTCAAATACTTGGAAGTGTATTCATTGATCCATCATGTAGACAGGTGCCAGTCAGGTACTGGAAAAACAAATAAGCAATCCAAATTGGGCAACAAGGGACAGCAAGCATAAAATGATACTGTAATCCCAACGACTGCCATCAGCTCATCTGAATACCTCACTCCAGTAATGGAGAAATAATACCCATTCCATATAATGCTGACCTCTGTGGTCATTAAGAAATGTGAAGTTCATCCATTTTTGATCAAAACACAAAACTGTAATTGAGGCCATTTCCTGTTGACCCTCGCTGAACAGGTAGGCAGTGGAGGACAGTCATTAACCTTCAAGACTCTGTCTTGGAAGTGGAGGAACTTCCTTGGAAGTTCCCTCCCAATTTCAGAAGTGCTCCTCTGTTTCTTGAACTGATAGAAACATTGAAATAACTTTATCTTGAGAAAGAAAGGACACTACCACATTATTCAAAGACTGATCTCACTGCGGTTATGGCAATCAAACATATGGTCAAATGCAAGTTTCTCCATGGTGTGCTAAGTAGGCAGGTCCATCATCCATTACAGATTATCTAACGCATCATAATAAAGGTAGCAAAAACTTTCAATGTGGTAAGAAATCAATCTAAAATAAGAACTTTTTTTTATCTCCCACTGTATCAAACAATCCTGGCATAGACAAATATACCGCCAAATAGATTTTTACTGCTTTCAGGCAACAGTTTAGGAGCAAAGATATCCTTCAGCCTCTCCCCTACAGGAATATTATAATACAAATGTGCTTCAAAATGCCTCTAGCATTTCAGAGGCTTACAAAATTCTTATCTTCTCGGTCCAAAAACAAAGCTCAATATTATTCTTAATTACAGATTTTGCTAAGGAAAGGATTGTTTGGAAGCAATTTATTTACTTAAATAAAGGAGTCTTTTTGCTACATAGCCTAGGGTACACACTAAGGATACCATTCTGCCACCCAAGGAAGGCAGAGAATGCACTGGACTTTATTTTTGTGCATTTAAGTCATAGACATGACTACAAAGAAGGAGGAAAAAAGATCCAAAAGCTACCAAGATAGACTTCGGGTGCTGACTAATAATGACAGCTAGACAAGCCAGTGGTTCAAACTTGACTGGCTTTCACAACATAAACATTATCCAGTGGGATGTGGATAGATCACTGGAAGCAGAAACATGGCAGCATGATCTTACTCTGACACTGGTTCTTTCTGTAGGATTACACAAAGCACTTCATTTCTTTTTGCCTAATTTTCATTATCTGCTGGGGTAACTATTAGTTATGTGAGACATCTATACTTAGTTTCTGTGACTCTCTGCTAATCATAGTAAATTGTTATTAATTAACTGGATATGTCAATCAAAATACTAATTTATTGAAGACTCTGTACTACTTCTTTTCCAGGAATCACTCCAAATTTGGCAACCTAGTAATCACAGTGACTTCAGCTGTCCCATCTGTCTCCAGACAGCTACTTTCCCAGTAGAAACCAACTGTGGACATTTATTCTGTGGTAAGATTTCTGGATTGACAGTGCAATGCTTATGCAGGCTACTGAACAAAGCACGCTTCTTACAGAGATCTTGAGTCCTGTGTAAGAACCAGGACCAAGCCCTTCTCCCTGGAATTAATGTAAGTGCTCTCACTGGAAGCAGGAGAAGTCCCATCTTTATATCCCTCAAAAAAAAAATCAGTAATGGTATTTTTATTTGCTCATTGCTTTTGCATCTACAAGGTGCCACTTTTCAAATGCCCAGGAAGTCTTAAGACGACAAGAAGTAAGAGATTATCTCACAGGATACTGTTAAATTACAACACAACCTCATGGAATGGGTAAAATGCACCAGGAAACCACACAATTTGTATTCAACTATGCAAAAAGCCCGTTATAAAAATCAACAGTCTAACAATCATACAGTTTGTTACTGTAAAAGCTCACAATGTAACAAACATGAAGTCTTATCTTCAAGCATGAACTCACTTGTGGGAAGACAGCGTGTCTTTTTATATGTCGACACTCAACAGCACAAAACCCCAGCCATCCCATAAAATTGACTCTGATTGTATTTATATTGGTGAAAATTGGGAGTGAAACACACTGGGCTCGGGTCTGATTCTGTTCCACAGGCTTGCTTCCCATGTGAAACATTTGCCTAAAATAAAGCAGGTTTAGAGGGTCCTTCTGTTGAAGCTGTCCGTGGTGTGGTCTCCTCTCCTCACCCACCTACACTCACGGGATAATATAAGTAAAACCATAATTCTCTAGATAAATGTGTCTGCTAAATGCCTTCTTTGAGTCTGCTAAGCCATATGGTCAGGATTACAAAATTTAAATAAATAATTTTTCAAAGGGAACAGAAGGATGAAGCACTCTATAGTGGAGGGAGTTATATTCATAATTGCATTTATAAAGAGGATTTCAGGATTTTAAAGGCCAACACTCTGCACCACTAGATCCACTGGGAGCTTTGCACCTGCTTTGAAAGGAAGCAGGATAAGGCCACCAGCATACTTGGACTGAACATTTTCTCAGACCTCTGACATACGTCACCCAGTGAATTTGCAGGTAAAGTTTACGACGTCATGCCCCGGCTGCCTACCAGGTTCCTTGCTGTCATCCTCAGAGCAGGGCTGGCATTCTTTCTACTTTCTGGCTGGCTTTCTACTGCTCTGGCATTTTACAGAGACCTTAAAGCAACTGCAAGTTATATTTACAAGCCATTTACACTTTTTTCACCACGTAAGAGTGCTATAAAAAGACCCAAGCATAAATGAGAACAAGGGACTGTGTTGTTAATGCTGGTGCAATACGAGCACAATTTTTATCTTGAGGAAGTGTCATTTTTCTCTAGATTAATGCTCACACAGCACAGCTCCTCATCACAACTGCCACTATCTCTGTCCTCTGAAACTACAACAGATCAGTGGATCACCAACAGCTAGGGACACTTTGAGGGCTCATCTACCTCATAAACACCACCATTTAATACTTTGGGTTGTTTCATGTTTTTGTAACACTGTTTTATAACATACAGGAAAAGGATGCTTTGAATATAACTCACTCCAGGACAAACAGTAAGCATATGGCCTCAAAACATGTTTCAAATCATGTCACAGTAGTTATAGTTTCAAGTACAAAGATAGACATAACAACAATGATCATCAACTTTCCTGTTTCTCTGGCCTGGTTAATTTTCCCTTTTCCATCTGTGAATATGACATAATGATATGGACTTTATTTTTATTTTGCGATCTGCAGAGGAGAAGTACCATATATAAGCTTGGTATATATTGTTATCGTTAGCTGTATATATTTAGCTAGGCTTTACTTTCCTCAAGTACATCATCATTTACACTCTGAAGCATTGATTCCAGTGCAATGCATTATATATGTTATGACTATGTTTATATAGTAGAAGGGGCCTCTGTAACATGTCTGTTTTTCATGTCTTAAACCAATAAAACTTTACATTGGGCTTATCAAAACCATTCTGCATAGATCTAAGTCTGTTGTGACTGAAATCAGTAATAAAACTTCTCTTGATGCCCTGTGGAACAGAGCTAAGGCAACACTGAGCTCTCTTAATAAATTCCACTCTGGTAAAAGTTTTATTTAAAAAATGTGGTCAACCCAGAGCTTTTAAAGAAGATTAATGTGGACTTATAAAAAATGTCTGATTTTATTATTAGTAGTAATTCATACAGTTTGTCCTGAAGTTTTCCTTTTCAGCTTCAGTTTGAACCATATGTTCAGGAAGTTCAACTGAAAAGCGATCCTTGAGCAATATTATTTTTTTCTAATTAACAATAACCACAGAGGTACTTTAGAGAAACCTACAGACACCCTCAGAAGGTTGTGCAGCAGGCTAGATTAAAACAGGATTTTGTCTATTTTATGAAAAATGCACCGAAGCACAGGTCAACTGCAGAGGACTCCTTCCTTTCCTGTTCTACGAAACAAAGGACTCCTCTGCATGCAGAAAATTTTAATTTCCACAGGCTTCTTTTTTGAAAGCCCTTGAAGAACTATGGGATCCATCAGTGTCCCACTGTCATCACTGGGACCGAGCACAGGCACATCAATGCAGCTGCATGGATATAGGATACAGATACAGGATCTGGACCCAGTGGGTCAAAGCAGTTCTTGAAGTCAGGCGTGATGTTTGTCAAATGCAAAAGTTCACGCAAAAGCTTGAAGCTGGCTGCCAGACCAAGTTTATACAAGCCACATGGGGATTTAGATATAAACACGGCCATGTGCCCAGCCAACCGGTCTGTATATGCAAACAAAATAATAGAAAAAACAGAAAAGTCAGAAAGAAAAACCCTGCACTCAAATGAAGGAAAAGTAAAAAAGCGTAAGTCAGTGTGAGGTTCATAAAAAATGCCTTTGGGCCAAATTTAACATCCCTAGTATATCAGGCTGTAACTGATAGCATCATCAACATTTTTATACTGGATATCAAGCACACTGTACTGAGAGCTCCTGAAAACTTCTTGTTATAGTACTGCTTACAAGAAACTATTTGCTGGTTATTTTTAAGAACAAACAATTCAATAAAACAATTCCATCAAAATGGCAGTGCAACGCTCTGCTTCTGTTTTCACTGGGGTCCTTGTCAAATTTGATCAGTTTAAATGTTAAGGGGATTTTTTTTCCTGACCTGTCACACTGCACACTGTGCCCGGGAGCTGAAAGTCAAGCTGGGCTGCTTCTGATTAGATGCTATTTATGCTTTGCTGTTCTTGCTGTTAGTGCCAGCACTGACATTTGTGTATGTCAACCGCTGCTGTCAATTCTACGTGCAATCTAATCTCACTGTCCTCAGACTCTGCCCTCTTTCACACCTGAGACTTTTGTATAAGAAGAGATGAGATTGTATTTGGAAATTAGTCAGCAGTTGTCTGGGTAAGGAGAATCAAAAAGAATGCTGCAACTCACTCATCCAGAGCTATGCAGTTCCAGAAGGGTAACAGAGTTGAAATACAGTAAGAGAAAGAAAAAAAAGCAAACAGACAGAATAGCCCAATGTATGGTACTTTGCCACCAAGTGTTTATCACCAAGAGGTGTTGTGGCACCAGGACTCTGCATCTCTAGGCTGTCCCTTGGCTGTGCGTGTTGGTTTATTTGGGATAACTGGCCCTCGTAACCCGTAAAAGCCACCCTGGCTCTGCAGGAACTCCACCTTTACGCGGCTGCACTGCTTTTGTCCACAGCAGCCAATGCTGCACTCTGAAGGGTACCTCTATTCCTGAGTGCTTCTGCAACAGTCAGGGGAGCTTCAAGAATAAGATGCCATCCACAGCAGAATACACTGAATCAAAGGCTCCCTTACGACATCCATGCCTCTCTATATAGACCAGTGGAGAAGAGCTAAGGCTCCATTTTTACACAGTCACTTTGCAGAGTAAAACCACGTATTAAAACAAAAGGAAAGAATTACATTCATTTTACAGTCAGTTGCAGAAAGAGGGTTTATTAATTCTGGTAACTTCCTTGTAACCACTAAGTATCCTTAAATATATTTTATGTATCATCTCAATACAATTTTTTTTTTTTTTTTTTGGTAGGTTCCTGTCTGATCACATACTGGAAACATAGTCCCTGGTTAGCAGCGATAACCTGCCCTCTCTGCAGACAAAAGGTAAGACTTACCTCCCTTCTACACATCTGCATTATGATACATACAAAATGACAAGCTTGAGCTCCTTGGATCAACTTTATTTATCCTCTAATTTTCCATAGCATTTCAAAACCCACTTAGACTTGAATGACCCTGCAGCCATTCACATTTATGATTTGACATGTTGCATCAGGCAACTCTGAAATATTACACAGGCCTCCAGCATTTTACTTTTGTATGGTTTATTGAATCTCTGGGATAACGTTCCATAAAAAGCAGTATGGAAGTTCCTAATCTCGTCTGACTCCGGTCAGAGCTGCCTGTTGTACTGGAAGGATGGATGCAGGTTATAAAAGGAAAATGTTCTTGCCATTGTGGAACTGCTGGAGTCGGACAAAGGTCCAGTTGTGAGAGGAGACTATGGAGAGACACGTACTATAGAACGCTATCCTTTATGCTGGCGATTAAAATACACCGTTCTAATGTCGATCTTCTTTTCTATGAAGGTGGTTCTTCTGGATAACATCCCTTGTGAAAAGCAACAAGATAAGCCAAGTAAACAAATTGTGCATGACATTAGAGATTACAACAAGCGTTTCTCAGGGCAACCTCGACCCGTAAGTAATTATAAATCTGCATTTACCTAGTTAGTAGTGCACAACACATAGAAGATTGAAAGAGCTCCAGCAATGAAAACCAGTTTGTATCATTATGTGAATCACCTTTCCATGCACTTATTGGCGATACCATTGTGGAAATGTTACCATCCCCTGCTGGGTCCAGCACCTTCTCAGAGTTCCTAACTCAGACGAGTCCTTCTGCAGTCATCCTGGCAGGGAGGAGAAAGCAATGTGAGATGAAATACAGAAAGCAAAGCAGAATCAGAGATAGTCAGGCTGAAACTTTCAAATTTGATCTCAGATTTGAACTCCAGGATTTTAACTTGCCTCTAAAATTTCAAATCAGATTCCAGCTTAGAAAGCAGCTGTTTTTTTCCCCAGGTATTGCCAAATACTGGCCAGACTGGCTCTGCACTTTTTTAAAGCTGGAATCCCAGCTGGTACAGAGACGTGACAGGCAGTGGAAATGATGTGAAAGACAAGGGCTGAAGGCACAAGTGAGGCCCATTCTTGAAAAGGTGTAGAATATCACCAAAGCAAATCTTCCTCTCCTGTCACATCCTGGTAGGGGCCTGAAAGGGCTGTGGGGTGTGTTTCAGTCTACGGATTAAACTAAGCACCGTGGAGGGGAATACTGTTTTTCAGCCCAACAAACTAGCATTAATGAAGAGGGATAATCACTCAGCTCTATAGTTCCTGTCCACACCAAGGCGAGACTTGAGGCCTCATTTTCAAGCATTCACAGCTTACGTTGATGCCAGGTGTTAAGGACAGACATATACTCAGTGCAGCCATTAAGGCCCAGTTTCTAAAAACATTCAGTGTTGAGCATAATACTTTATTTTAAAAGTGCTGGGGGAGTGGGGATTCTTTTTAGAAGTGTGCCTCTAGATACTGCAAAATAATTCAACAGTGTAGGTAGATTTGGACAGCACAGAAAGTTTCTGCATTCAAGAGATGTGAATCTAAAAGTGCTTACAAGACACATTGAACTGAAAGAACTGCAGGCATGAGAATGCAAAACAGCCTAACTCATCTGAGTATTTAGTTTGCAGATTACCTTTACGACATGCCGTTATTCCTGACTCTTGCCTTGCGAGGAATCTTCACCTGGGGTGGTCTCGTATGGATTTTTTTCCTAAGAGTTGCTGTTTGCTCCTTTGGAACAATCATATGCTTGTCTTCTCCGTTTGACACAAAGCCTGGGCCTCTCTGTAGGACACTTGGAACAGCTGATGACATGGTGGTTGTTTCCCTTCTTTTAATTTGCATGATAAACATTTGTCAGCAAATTGCATCTAATGGGGTGAATATGGCAAGGTCTGCAGCTCAGAGCATGCTGTCAGAGTCCTGACTGACTCAAACTTGGATTCCTTGGTCAAACTTTATCACGCGTTGACAGACTTCTCTGATTCGGGGCAGCCTATGATGGATTTGTCATTCTGCTGCTGACAAAGGCTGAAGCAGGACTCAGCAATACTTGGCATGGCCAAGTGATTCGGTGTGCGAGCGCTTAGAAGGCTAGTTTTACACACTGCTGTATACTTGCTAGACTCTTTCACGCTGCACTCTTCTGTAACCTATCTTCATGCAAGGTGCCTGAATTGCAAATGCCTAAAGCTATGAACAGAGCCTAAAATTACAATGCCACTCAACTTGCAGATGAAGAGTTTTAGAACTCGAGCTTTAACATTTTACATCTTGGCTCAATTTGCATAAAATTTTAATTTGAGAACTTAGCAAACTGTACAATTTGCTAAGTCTTGTATAACACAAGGAATATTAGTATCACTACAAAATCTTGTATCAGTGCTTTGTGTTATCACAGCTGATTACACATCCACTGGAATATAGACTTTTTTACAGCTCTGCAATGATTATAAAATGGATAATACGAAACTGGTAGTAACACTGGCTTGGAACAAAAACGCAACTGTAAAGCAGAAGTATTACAAGGGGAGAAAATCATAAAAAAATCATGCAAGAAATGTGAACAAATCTCTGCGTAACTCTTTTGTAGAAGCCTAGGCAAGGTACACAGCTTCCTTGAATTCTGTGCATCTAAGCTTTAACACAGTCAGCAGGACTGTTTGTTTCCTTTCTAGACTTCATACACTCCTTGTGATTTCCTTGTAAGTCTTGGTACCAGTTCAGCCAGAGAGATCAAGGCCAATTTTATGATGATGCTATAAATAGCAGGAAGTTTATGGAAAGCTTGCCAAAGTTGGGGAAGGGGGAGTGCGTGTGCGTGTCTGTGTTGAGCCACAAAGAGTTAAAAATGCTGGTGCAGTACCAGACAACCCTGCACACCTGCCCCTGTACAATGTGTGCATTTGCTATGTATTTGGAGTCAGCGGACTTCATTTTTACATACGAACTGTACATTAAAATAGATACATTAAAATTTATGAATGTTGTTCACAATACACTGGTCTCCAACTGTTTTTTCCTTCTATGTGTTTTCAGTTGACATATTTTATTGTGCCCTTGAATTGTAAGCTATGATATAACATCATGTTGCAGTTGTTTTCTGGCTTGTTAGACCCTTTTTGTTATGATGTTTCTTCATTTTATTCCCATCAACTTTCATTGTCTTTAATTATGTCCCTGAACTTGTAAAGCTGTTTCTCTTAACAATGAGTACTTTGGAAATGGCAACAATTGCTTTTCCATGAACTACAAGGCAGGAAGCGCATTGTTTCTTTAAAAAAATTACCAGATGTTTTTGAGTGCTGACTACTAACAAAAAAAAAACCCCAGAAACAATTATTTTCCAAGTTCTCTAAGTGTAATTTTGTTATTGTGTAACTTCTGTTTGCATTTAACTGGGAATTACAGCCTATGCCAATACTAAAGAATGGAATTTCTGTCAAGCTAAGTGTATAAAGATGGAGTCCATTTATAGGAATACTGACTCCGTGGAAAGGGACTGTAGGTTGTTTCTCTTGTGTAAAACGCAGGCTCACCAAGAGGGTGGCAGTGGAAGAAAAGGGTTCTCATGAGTGACCTATAACAGCGTTGTAGGTGATCTGAATATGCTCTTCTGCTTTCTCACCCCTTGCTTCAGCTGGGGACCCTGGTTTAGCTTTTTAAACAGAACAGTATCTTTTATTAAGAAGTAACAAACAAATGGCAGAGAAAGAATTAATTTCTGAGAGAATTTCACTGAAGCCGCTGGCAGCGTGTGGATCTTGCAGGATCAAAACAATTTGTCCTGTCAGAGGTGAAACATTTTTGCTGTATACAACCAGAGTGTCCAAACTCCCTCCTTCCACAGCCCAGTTTGCCACGACCTCTTGTCCTGATCTTGGCAGTACCATGTAAGACTAAATATCCAGGGCAGCCTTCAAAATTACCTGAGGACAAATGAAAGCCTTTTGTTGACTGGATTTGACCAGCAGGCAGCCAGGAAGGTTTCCGAGCATCGACAAATGCAAGTCCAAGGCAGGAAAGCCCTCTCTGTCCCTCTGCCTTCCCTGTGCCTGCTGCTGCTGCGTTCAGCTCTGCAGCTGGCGGGCTGTGCAGACTCACATGCTCTGAGCTAGGTCTGGCTGGAGCAACGTGATGAGAATGGACACGGAGGAGAGCTGGGCTGTTTCAGGGCTGACTGCCTCTGAGGCAGCTGGCAGGACGGATGGAATTCACCTGGATTATGAACAGATTTCCAGCAACCACGTCTGCTCAACCTACTCTCTCAATGTCAACAGTGGGCCGTTCCACATCTGCACAGGGATTAATGCGCACTGAGGGCAAAAGACAAAATGGCACAAATAAACGATAGCAAAACGACTGCACTGCAAGGATGGAGACAGAAAAAAGAGACCAGGAAACAGAAGAAAACAGAGAGAAAAAAACTGCACAGCTGCAAAAGTGATTCTCAAATATCAGCCACCAAAGAAGTACTATAATCAGAGTAAAAAAACCCCAAACAAACAGAACTTTCCAATGGAAATCATGTTTAGGTGTTACCTGTAGCCGATACTAAAAAGGCCCACGTGTGATGCCAGGTGCAGTTACCTGTGAAAAGCACGGCAAAGGGCAGCGACTCAAGTCCATCTGAGTCAGTTATGTTGTTCCTTGTGTGGTTCCTGCCTGTGGCCAGTCTAAATCCTGGCACTGGGGCATCTGCAGCCGGGTTGGTTGTCATCTTCTCTGGCTGGAGCAAATGATTATTCCTTGTCCCTGGGGTGCAGGGATTATTGACAGAAAATACTCAGTGCTTCACAGTGAAGTGAATGCATTTTATTTCTCATTAAAAATTAAAATGTACACCTTAAATGATAAAAATCTATTTTTACCGTGGACGGTACAATAAGAAGAAATTACCCTCATCACAAGTATCTGGAAATTCGTTATCCCTGCTGTTCCCAAATTACATGACTCTGGGTTAGAAGCTGTTCATGATGGAGCGATACTCTCTCTGATGTTCCACGAGTTTCAAAAATACTTCATATTTCTTGTCATAAAATCTGTATAAGAAAATTAATTTCAGCAGCGCCTGAGATTTTAAGATGTAAATCCCCTGTAATAACAGACATACTTACTTCCTTCACTTAGCATCAAAGAAGCTTTGACTCTTTCCTAATTACAATTTTTACTAGGATTGGAGCTCCGTACGCTGCCAGAGCACAGCTCCCACCCAAACAAGTGATTTCAAGTTATAATTACCCCTTTCGTTTACCCTATGGCCAGCTTTGATTTCCAGACAGTTTTTCCTCCCAAGTTCCCCTCTGTGGGAGTGGGCACGCACCGGGGCTCCGCTGCTCTTCTGCCCATTTATCCCCGCTGCCGGGAACGCGTTCCCCGCGAAGGAGAGCTCACTGCTCCC